AGGACTCTGGACTCTCTGGACTCTCTGGACTCTCTGGACTCTCTGAATTCTCTGGACTCTGGACTCCCTGGACACTCTGGACTCTCTGGACTCTGGACTCTCTGGACTCCAGTGGCTGTAAGGACCTGATGAGTGTTTTCAGTTTAAACAGTAACTCTGACTCTGGATCTGTTTAACTGTGCATCATCGTTGCCATGACAACAAAGACTCAACAACCGTCCGTCTTTGTGTGGCAGACTTGATGCGTGACGGATCAGATTCTTCAAACATTTGATGAAAAGAAAAGGTTTCGTTTTCCTGGTGAATCACCTGCTGCAGGTCCAATCGGGTCAAAGTTTTCTACAGAACTTGTAAACACTGCATTGCATCATGGGAGATTTGTTCATGTCAGCATGCTTCAGTGTCTGCTGAGGAGTGGTTTGTTGATGAGAAACAAAAACAATCTATGTTTTATTATATTTTAGATAAAAGTTTTTGTACCTGCTGTTGATCTGTGCAGGTTTGGGCTTTGCCTCCATGGTCATCGTCTTCTTCTGCAACACCTACTACATCATGGTCCTGGCCTGGGCCTTCTACTACCTGATCAAATCGTTTGGCTCCACCCTGCCGTGGTCCGACTGCGACAACGAGTGGAACACGCCCACCTGCCTGGAGATCTTCCACCATCAGGACTGCAAGAACACCAGCATGGCCAACGCTACGGTGGGCGGGGCCAACATGACCTGTGCTGACCTGTCTGAGGCCCGCTCACCTATCATCGAGTTCTGGGAGTGAGTTGTACACCTGGGTCAGTTGGGCTCAGGTGGGCTCAGGTAGAGTCAGGTGGGCTCAGGTGGGCTCAGGTGGAGTCAGGTGGAGTCAGGTGGGGTCAGGTGGAGTCAGGTAGAGTCAGATGGGCTCAGGTGGAGTCAGGTGGGGTCAGGTAGAGTCAGATGGGCTCAGGTGGGGTCAGGTAGAGTCAGGTGGGGTCAGGTAGAGTCAGATGGGCTCAGGTGGGGTCAGGTAGAGTCAGGTGGGCTCAGGTGGAGTCAGATGGGCTCAGGTGGAGTCAGGTAGGGTCAGGTGGGGTCAGGTGGGGTCAGGTGGGGTCAGGTAGGGTCAGGTGGGGTCAGGTGGGGTCAGGTG